CCTTCAAATCAGCGGGACATGAGGTAAAAACATTGTGCACAAGAGAGTATCTGGACATCCCAAACTCCAACCATTACCTTCCATGTGGTCATGTTTCAGTTCTCCAAAACCCATGACCTGCTGGGAAGGGGACAGGAGGAGTAGATCCTTTTTGTGAATCCTCCCCTTACGGAGTCAGGGTCCCCCAAACCGCCCACCAGGCAGCCTTACTCGCACCTGGCAGTAAAGACTTAGGGACTGAAGGAGTTTGGGACCTACAGGATGAGGCAGCAGCTATACCGTGGTTACAAAGACACGATGGCACCTAAAATGTGAGCTTGGAGGTCAAAGAAGGATTCTGGCATCCTCTGCTAAAAGGTCTCTCATGTGGTGAATGAATCAAGAACCAGAAGGTTGGAACAATGAATCTATCATTTAGTGACTTGCAGCATGTAAGGAGCTGAAAGCAATTGGAGCTCCTGCTTGTCTTCTGTAATAGCCAAACCTAAATTGATTGGAGTTTGGTGATGTGCAGTCCGGGGAAAAGCAATGCGTCTCACGCAAGAGGGCAGGCAGTAGAGCACATGGCCCAAACGCTGAACAAATGGCAGGAAAATATGCCCTCCCTAAACTTCATAAAATGGATTGCGAACAGATATCAGTAAATCGAAGATACCCAGACCCTCATCTCCACCCCAGCAAAAATACTTCCTTGGAAACCCAGCTAGAAACCCTAGCACATTCAGACTTAAGGATAAAAAAAAGAAAAAAAAAAAGAAAAAAAAAAAGAAACATATGAAGTTGCCTAGAAACTTGTGAAATCTGATTTAAAGAATCTCAAGCTGATACAGGTTTCTCAGCTTTTCATGACCGAGCTTTGCTTTGGAGCTAATCACAACTGATAACATTAGGCAAAGGTGTGGGATCTACAGGGTCAGACCCCGGTGAGTTGAAAAAAAAACCAACAAGGGTTGGCAAAGTCCACAGGTTGTGATCCCAAATACCAGCAAATAGGAAATACTGGTCAAGACATCAACACAGAGAGGGAGAAAGAACAAAAAATTGCCCATGTGCACTTGTAAGAATTCTTTCTGGTTTAGGTGTAAGTTTTCTCAAATCACCGCAGGGCAAAGTGCTGCCTACAGTCATGTTTGTGAAGTTTTGCTGGAGACTAAGCTTGTAACAGCAAAAGTATAAACATGCGATAATCATTTGGAGCCCTCCAAAGCTGGTACCTCAAACTGAAGGGCAGCACAGGCTGCTTCGTGTGTCGATCTGCTGGTTCCTTATTCCTCAACTACTTTTCTTTGTTCATCTCCAGCTCAGCCTTTGCATCAATCTTCAAAAATCTTTTTGACAAACTCAACTCTTGTTTTCCATCCAAAGACATGACAAAGCCACCTGAAAGTGGGCCAAATACAGGGAAGCATGCCTAGATCTGACCCAAGGCTGTTGCTACCACCAGGAAAAAGAGCTGTCAGTCAGTGAGAGTGGGGTGAGCAGGAGACACTGGCAGCTGGAAGGAGCCAGAGAAAAGGAAGTGGGATAGACAGAAAAAGAAACACTCACTGGCTGGAAAGAGCTTGGGAAGGCAGAGGGGGAGAAGTACCCAGGTGCCAAAATATGTATTCATAACCCCATGTATGAAAATTTACCTTTTTTTTTTTTGCAAGAACACAGTAAGAATAAATGTATTCATAACCCCATGTATGAAAATTTACTTTTTTTTTTTAGCAAGAACACAGTAAGAATAGATGGAAGTTTACACGCACACAAATACACTGAATTTCAAATAAACCTTTTCCAAGTAAGATTTTTCTAACTTCAATTTTCAGCAAATAATCATCCTTTGTCCACAGACAAACATTATCTTTTGAAGTTTATAAAATAAGAGTCACATGTATCTTTCTTAGCCAAGAAGGTGTTACCTTCTTCTCAAGGTAACCCTCTTCATTAACCAATTAGTCTACTCTTTTCATTAATTGTGTCCCAATGAAGCAATCAAATGAAGCAAACAGAAAAGAACGGACACTTCCGAGGGAAGACTTGCTTTTAGGAAGGTCAGTGCTAGAGCAGGTGGTTTTACTTTATCATCTTGGCAGATGTGCCCAGGCCACCTCAGATGACACAACTGAAGCTTTTTCAATCTGGGTCTGCTCTGATATAAAGAGCAAAATCAACTACACCAACAACTCGACGTGGAGCTTCCTCCTTTTTAATCACAGGTAAGGGTAAGAAGGGACAAGGGCCAGGGTAAGACAGGCAGCATAAGGCCTCCTAAGTTAGAGCCCTACAATACACGGTGAGATTCAGGCGCTTACAGCACTCCTAATGAGCACGGATGCACTACTAAGCTGAGCCTCAGAAGCTCTCTTCTAACCTCTGGTAGCTTAGGATGCACAGGTAACCACCAAGTGTCTTCCCAGGGGCTCAACAGACACTACAGGTGCTGTGGACTCAGCTAGCACAGGCTCACAGCCCACAGCCACTGTCACTCCGATGGCATTTAGCACCGGTGGTTCCCCTCCTTCCCGTAATACCACACATAGGCAGAGCATTTGCCAAGATCAACGACTAAGCGTTACATCTCACTGAACTTTCAAATCATTCGAACCCGCATCTCTGCCTGCCCAGAGAGTGACTTAATCCCCAGAACAAACACAAACATTGTACTCCTGGCCTGCCACTGGACATCCATAAAGGGGAAAAAACATGGTTGAGTGTGACATGTAGAACTTAATTTTAAAAGAAAAGCCCCAGATTCTTCAGTCTTTTCTGGTTTTGAACTGACAACTGTTGGGTGTAAAACATAAATGGTAAGTCCTCATTTCCAGCTACGTTTTCAACGCCTGATGATGTAGTCTACTTGAAAGTGGTGGATGCATGTTTGGAGTGAAATCAAAGATCCATAAAATTCTTTGTATTTGTCTCAAAATAGTCAATTTGTGCCTCAGTTTTCCTGAGTTATACCATACCTAGCCTGCATGTTCTGAAATCAGAACAAAATTATCAAAGCTGCACAAGAAATAAAGAGACTGAGGAAAATAAAGAAATCACAAAGTTGGGTTTTTTCTTAGAAATATATTTTGTAAGAAAACAATATTAAAATTAAAAAGAAATGTTTATTATACAGTATAAAATAATTGCTTGAATTCAATTTGATTCCTTACAAAAAAAGCCTGAGGATTTGTATGAAGCCTCAATTCCTACAGATCTGAGTCTTTTGCCTTCTGTGATTCCTACCACATTAAAAAGCAGATTTTCCTCACATCATCCTTAGAGCATGCAGACAAGTGCTCCTAAAACCTCCCTCTTCCCCAACAAATTGCTGTTCCCTGCCCAGATGTGCTCTAAGCATCTCATATTTGCAGCCCTCTCCTATGTCCCTCGTATCCACCCTCAGTTTCCATCCACCTACCTCTTTTGGCCAAGCAACTACACAAGCGACACCACACGTTGCAGCTAGCTAGGCGTCTCCCCGTAGTAATTTGCAGCTAATATGAGCAGTGGCCAGCCACTGACAAATAATGTAAAATGGCTGAGTTGTTCTCAGCTGTCTGTTCTCCTAAAACCTGTAAGAATATCTCTCAACACTGCCGTTCATCTGCCAAATCTGGCAGAAACAGGCAGAGTTTCAAAAGCTAGAAGGGGAGACAAGGACAGGCAATGCAATGACATAAGCTTCACTTTTTCAGGAAACTAAACTAAAAAGGTCATTACTTAATCGCAGAATTTACAACTTGCAGATTGTCATAGGAAAACATGCCTGTTCAGTAACTATAAATACCCCTAATACATTTCTGTGGCTTATTATGTATTATTTTTTATTATTTTTATTTTTAAGTAATGCCAGCTTTGTAATGTCAATTACCCTCCAGGTTTGAAAGGCACCCAGTGACCAGCATTCTGGTGTAATTATTCATGACATTGGTGTGATTCTCCCCCTCCCAATAATACTGACAAGTTTAACAGAAATCTATTAAGTTAAAAAGAAGAAAGATATATATTACATTTGCTAATTGCAAACAACCTCTTTTAGCTGCAATTTTTCCCATTGGGATTAAAAAGTGCACCAGTTTAACATGTCTGTACATTAAAAACAGTTTAAAACATTAAATATACAAACAGCAAGAGATTTTAAATATTTTGTATCAAATACTATAGGACAATATAATTTACTTTTTTTACACAAAACATTACACCTGAAATATAACTTTAGATATTACAGAATATAAAAATACATACTTTTTGTCTAAAAAATGTCTTTGCAGGTTCTGGCACAATGTAATACTTTAAAGGCACACTGTATTTTGGCAATCTATATTTGCAATTAACTGTGCAACAAACAAAAACGACCTGTAATTAACCTCGTAGAACTGCAAGGCCAGAAGATCTCTCTCTTCCTGGAATAGCTGTTTTAATCAGGCAAAAACTTAAGTTGAACTGTTTAGGTGTTCTGCAACTCATTTCTGCCACGGCCCGAGCTCTCCAACCCTAATCCAGCAAAGCAAGAACAGGCTTAACTAAGCACGTGAAAAGCCACATCAAATGCAATGGGATTAGTCATACTTTCATAATGTTTGCCGTCTCAGGGTGAGAGCACTCAACCCCAAGCAAAATTGAGCCCTAACTGCAAGTTGGGAGCCAAGTTCTGTCCTGCCCTGTGTTAGTAAGAGTAGCACAGGTTAAAAAGTCAGGGCAGAACTTGGAAACAGAAATCTGATAATATTAATCACTCTGATTTCAACTACACCAATGTAACAGTCATAAGGACCCTACTGAAGCCAGTGGAGACATATGAAGTAAAACTGCTGTAAGACTGAACCAGGAGAACTATGCAATTTTGCCCTTCTGTGCCTTTGTGGGACTCCTGCTGGAGTCAGCACAGGGCAAAAAACGTGTCTTCAGAGATATATGGCTTATATAGATGCAATTGGGTTGCAAAAGATTTTCAGTTCTGTCTTCAAGTTATTTCTGGATCACTAAAAACTCAAATAATTTTCAGTACACTAAAGAAAGATTCAGTCTAAATCCCTAACTTTAAATGCCCCAAAATAAGTTGCTTCTTGTGATGAATCCAGTAGCAATGGGTTTGATACCTGGACACTTATCATTTCACCAGATTTTAATTTAAAAAACCCTCCTACATTTACAGAATAAAAATGAAATTCTGAATTCCCTGACCAGTATTTGGTGCTTCCTCCCTTCATCAACACATCAGAGCGCCTTATTTTAAGGTTTGTCTTAGTCATATATACCATCAGCTGAAGACCTCTTTTAGTCAGGTTTCCTGAAGTTTCATGATGTCTAAAGCAAATGTTGGCATAAAGGTAGTAAAAACCATCTTGATTAACAATCAGCTTTCCATCATTGAATGTCATGTTCGATAGGTTTGCCTGGCCTTTGTCATGATGCCAGGATGTGAGGTTCACTTTGCGAGTTCCTGAAGAGGAGAGGAAAAAAAAAAACAAAAAACAAACTTATAAACATTTCACAAACCTTAACATTTAGAAAGCAATCTCTTTAGAATCAATAATAACTAAAGTTATATAGGCTAAAGTGAATATTAGACAATTCTGATGTAAATTCACATGAAATTTCCTTTTTCCATCATATTTGGCTTTCTCTTTATAACTGTCTGCCCTCCCACCAGAACATCTGCTGGACCATGGTACCAAACACTTGCTTGGCCAATAGTTTGATTATGCGAAGCAATCATGCAACAAGCTCCGTACAGAAATTGTATTCCCCCTAAAATTTTATTTGAATAACAAATACTTGAGAAGAATTTGAAAATAAAAATTACTAATGAAACAACAGCAAATCTTGTTATCAGTCTTTAACCTGTAAGTGTTTGCAAAGAATAACTAAAAATCTGAAAACAAGTTAAACTGGTAATTGCCCAAACAGAAAGCTTATGAAACCTTCCTGTACTTTATGTTCTTGTGACTGTAGTGGTACAAAGGTAAACATTTTCATTTGAGAACACCAAAAAAAAAGGGAAAAAAATCAGTACAATTGTGCATCTTTAATACTACATGGTAAGTTGCCTAGACTTTAGATAGCGCTTCAAGTATTTATGACACAACAAACCTTTTTATGCAAAAAAAATGTTTAGATTTAACCCAATGCTTGCACATACCAGAAAAAGGCTCCACAATCTGGCTTAGTCATATCTTAGATATCTAGGATGGTGACCCACTGTACAATCGTAGTTTTTTTGATAATTGTACAAATACTTATAGCTGGCCAATCATAGCTATTCGGGAGGTAAACCCAGATTCTTCGTCTAATACCTAGTGGAAGGTGTTAGAAAACGAGCTTTAGGAAGATGTGACTCTGGATGCATTGCTCTTTTTCTTATTTTTATTTATTGTAGAGTATCTTAAGTTTCAAACTAGAAACAATGAGCTGATATTCCATGCTTGGAGGAGAACAGTCCCCTTCAAGTTGTCTTGAACTGGAGACCCACAACTTAGGAAAGAAAAACGACAATATTCTTTCTGTCTCTCCATAGAACACCACGCATGAGGGAATCAAAATACATGTATGACAGTTACCAAATCTGACTCCCAAAAGGACACATTAACAGAATTATCACATGCAAACAATCTTCTAACAGGTACACGTAAGCCTTTTCAGCTCTGCCAGCACGATGGTGGCCTGGTAAACAGGAAGCTGTCCCTTATCTATTAAGGTGACTGAATGCTTTGTGAAGATGACAAAAAGGAGAGGAGAGACTGGAGATGTTTTGATGACTTGTCAGCTCAGCACTGTCACTGAAAGCTAACTTCACAGACACAGGTACAAACGTCCCCCAGGAACTCTGGCCCGAAGGGCACCTCCTGGGTACCACCATCACGTAGCCATATTGTATCATCACTTGGAGGTTTCAAGCTGGTAAAGTCTCAGATGTCATTTCATTTAGATCTTACTACTGAGGCTGTGCTGAGAGATGGCCTGGCAGGGGGTCAGACAGGCACTGAGAAAGAGGAGCATTTTAGTCTTCCTTCCAAACCTGGTCACATTTGACACTTTAGGTTGGTTTTGGTGGCACAGCGTTAAGCAGCAGCCTGCAACACCAGCCCAGATAGCATTGCTACTACAGAACGTGTACTATGTAGAGGTTTATAACAGTATTTTCTGTTGAGGAGCATGCCCTGCAGCACACACTCTACAGCCCCTTCCACCTCCCCAGCTTCACCACCATCCCATTATAGCACCCACCTCATCTCACAGCCTCCACCTGCAAAAACAGAGGCAATAGTGGGAGGAGAAGGTCCAGGCAGTCCCACGGGCACACCCACACAGAGGAAACAGCACTGTCTTGAGAAAGCCACACAGGCCCTGACCCTTCCTGATACGTACAAGCCACTAACACTCTACCATTTATTCAGTGGAATACCCAGGGCATAACGCAACAGATGGGAGTTGGCCAACTTGTCCTCCTAACCACCAGCAACTTTCAGCGCACAAGACTAACTCCATTTGCTCCCTCCCCAGCGGTGGGTCCATGCAGGACCCAGAGGACATTACACCTCAGGCTTCCAGTGCATCTGAATGCCTGCTTGGAACATTCAGTACCTTATTCTCCCAACATCAAACTAAAACTATCTATTCCCAACGATCTTTCCACGGCACATGGCAGGACCCAGCGGCCTCTCCTCCAAGCATCTATCAAGGCATGTCCCAGAACCACCAGCACTCACAAGCATCCCAGGGAAAAGCCTCAGGTATATTTGATTAGTTAAAAAGATGCCTCTTGCATTTGTTTGTGCAGAAAGAAGTGAGGGGAAGCAGGGACAGGGGAATTTGAGAGTTACAAGTCTTCGCTAACTGCCAAGGGTGAGCGACTTTCGCGTGTGAGAGGAATACTTTAATAGTAGTCCAGAACAAAAAGCTTCTGGCATTCTTCCACAAAGACTTGAGCAAAGCACAGGCTGTCAAGGGCAGATCATAAATAGTTGCTCCCCGATGGCTCCAGTGCAGCCAGGTAGAAAGTATACAAGCAAGATCACACAGAGAAGCCGTCTTCTGGGCAGTGCCTCAAAAATACCTGTGAAAACCATCAAGTAACTGGAAGCGACACTAAGATCTCTTAGCCTGCAATTATCCAGGTGCAAGAGATGCTGAGATAGGGGTACCAGAGTACACCTCTAAAGCACTGGGGATAGCTGAGGAAGTTGCAGAACTTCTTGTGCACAGCGTTAAGTCTGCCAGAAATACTGCCCCAAGGAGGCTGGGCTACCTTCAAAATGAAGAGGATAGGCAAGAAATCACTGCTTGGATCGGAGGAGAGGCACATCAGAGCTATGGGACAGGAACATATACATACGATGGAACAGAAAGGCATGCTGGTATGCTGTGACTGACTGGTGGCACACTGGGTAGTTCCTAGGCAGATTTTACCTGGTAAGTAAACTTTTTAGTTGCCAGTCTTAATCAAGCAGCAGTTTTGAAGAAATCCTTAGTGGGAATGCATGATTCTCTGCTGAAGAAGGGGGAAGAGAGAAAACAGTTGCCACAGTCACTTGTAATTGACATGCTGAGAGGGGCTCTGGGTGAAGTTTGTTCACACTGTTTTTGGTGTTGAGGGGAATATGCATCATTCACCCAGGGTCAGGTCAAGGGACAGGCCAAGAGATGATGGAAGATGACCCTATCTGTTTTGAGCAGAGGATTAGCCTAGGTAACTTCTGGAATTCCCTTCCACCTAAATTGTAATGCTATGATTGTATTAACTGAGGCAGATGAGCATTTTGCCGCAATTCAGAGCTTCAGAAGAGGCATGCCACAGCCAACGAGCACAGCACAAAGGTGCCTTGCAGCCTCCAATGGAAAGAGCGAGAAGGCTCTCAGCACTTCTACTGGTAATACATCCAAATTTGGAGACAGCAAAACAATCAGTACCCCAAAACACAGGCAGAGGAGAAAACTGGAGCATCCAAGTGTCAAATCAGCTGTCCGTATATCAGAAACTGAAACATAACCCAAGCCATGGGACAGTCAGAAATGCTGCAATACAGTATCTTCTGTAATAAAATTTACTATGGAGCCATGAAAAATATAGCATAAGGCAAGTCATGTTGACAGAGAAGAGGTCAGAGAGATAATGAGTAAGACAACCTTCCAGACACGGTAAAATGCATTATTAAAAAAAGTCAAGATAATACATAGTCTTTCTGGTAACTGAAGACAAATCAAAACAATGTCTTCGATATTTGTGAGCATGACCTAAGATTAATACAAATGAGTTTCAACAAAATTAATTAGTAAGGAGGATGATGGGAGGGGAACAGAGGAGAAAGTAGCCCTGTATTGGTAATTTGTTTGCATCCTAGTAGTTTTCAGGTATAAATAAAGCCTGAGGGAAGGACCAAAGCTATGTTTGCTCTAAAAACTGTTTTGGAGGCAAAGGGCAGCTAAGCCAAACCTGTAGCTGTAAATAGCTCAGAATACTACAGCATTTCCTTAGACAGCTAAAGGTATCAATTCACATCCCAAATGATATATTTAACACTTATATTTATTTCTGTTTGTGATTTTCTCCTTTAAACTGTCACTAGTTTCTATAATCAATTTATAAACCAAAATTCACTGTTTTCATTTAAAACCTAGGTAGCGTTTATAGCGAGCTCTGGTAAAAAATAACCAGCAAGTATCCAGCTTTAACCTAAGGCAGCAAACCTAAAAAATACACACAGCAAGCCAAACCACTGCTGCTTCTGCAGCCAAATGATGGGTGGGGACACCAAGATCTGGGAAGGATTCTTTTCCCCCTCCCTCACACTCCCTCCAGCTGCAAGCTGCACCATTTGGTACTTGATAGTATTGTGAACCAAATAAAAGGAAAACATTCCCTCACAGACACAGCCCAGTGTCCCTTCATGAACGGTGTTCAGTGGCAAACTACTTAAAATAAAATCCTGTTTGACAGTGATGAAGACTGATTAATATTTTTTTCATTGTTTTTTGGGGTTTTTGGGGGTTTGGTTGGTTGTTTGGGGTTTTTTTTTCGGGTCAGAGTTGTGACAGTAGAGAACCTTAAAATACTAAGAACAGATCTGTCCAGACTCCCAGATTGCACAAAACAATTTAGAAGGATTTCAGACATGTAGGGTCTGAAATCAGGGGAAGAAAATAGAAATTGCCATTCATAGTGAGAAGAAACAGGATGGGAGAGAAAAAAAATCCTGGTGACCCTCAGGAAAATTCTTCATCCTTTATGTCTGTCATTAACCTCTATGCCACCCAGCCAAGTGGGTACTGCCTCATACCAGTGACCATGATACAGAAGTGCCTCACAATCAGCAAGTTCAGGGTTCCAGCTATCCATAAGGATGCAGCCCCTCACTGCTGCAGTGCCCACAAGAACCCCAGAGGCTGTCCTCGGGATTAACATCCTGGCAATGCTCTTCCAAAAGAGGCAGCAGCTGTATGTGCCAGATCAGGAGGGAGTATGTCCAATCCATCACACTGATAAAGGTGTTGATCTCCTCCAAGGAGAAACAAAGCAGCTTGTTGTCACAGGCACTGTATTTCTGAGAGTTCCTGCAGCCTGTGCTACTAAAAAAAAAAAGTGAAGAGAGCAAGGAAGAGCAATCCCTCCCTTGCCACTACCCACAGATGTGCTATGTCACTCCCTAGAAGGTTAATGCAGTGATGCACCACAGTAAAAATGATCAGCTGCTAGCCCTGATAAAAATACAGTTTACAGCAACATCCAGGTAGGCAGCAAAAAAACTCCCCACAGAAGGTGGATTTCAGAAAGTGTGACACTGACACGCTCCACTTCTGCAGATAAAAGTGATTTGTCTCTATGATTAGCAAATTAATTGAATCCTTCCAAAGACAAAATGCTAAGACAAGGTTACTGATCCTGCATCTTCTACTATTGACCTATGTCAAAAGCCAAAATCTGACTGAAATAGGAGCTTGCCAGGAGACATTTGAGCTAATAAGAAAGCTTGCAGAAGTTCTGACTACCAGCTGACAAGCTGCTTAAGCTTTCTGCTTATAAAGTTCTGGATCATGGCAATGCCCACGCACTTGAAAGGAGAAAGAATCTTATCCCTCCAGGCAAGAAACTAACCCCTTGTGTAAGAAATGTTTTGTCTTTAAACAGAGCAAGAGCAAGGTATTACTATGGAGGCTGCTGAAATATCAGATTTCAAGCCTGAACACAGCACTCCCCTTTGGTTTGGTTGTATAAAACAGAAAAGCAATGCCCATAGCTTAATTAACAGGGAGTTCAACACTGCAGAATGTATACATCTTCAGAGGAAGAAGACAGTGGTGATCAATGCCTTCTCCCATTTTGAGACCCTCTGTCTAATAGCTTCAGAATAAACTTTGGTTTACTTCTATCACACCAATGATGGTTGTTGTGTAGAGAATATAGAGAGAAAAATCTCAACTGACAGTGCCCCAGGGGAAAAAATGGAAACAGTACTAAGATATCTTAAAATTGTAGGAATGAATCTTTTCCTCTGGAGTGTACTCCAAGGCAGATTCATGTCTTTTTCTCCCCTCATACTGTACTAGCAAGGATATTCCCAAAGTCATCCAAAGATACCTGTGGGTAGAGAACAAGAGCTCTTGCAAGATAAAAGAATGCCATCCTCTTACCATAGGGGCAGATAAAAGCCACAGGAACATTTTTTTTCCCCTACTCAATAGCTCAGAAACATACTGCATCCAGGTCAACACACTGGCCAGAAACCCTGCTGCTCAGAGTACAACACTATGATCTCTGATCCTCCTGCTACCGGACTAGATGGATGCAGACAGACCTTTGTGAAGCTTTGGCATGTCTGAACATCAGGAATTCCCTGAGAGTCTGGATGTGAAAAAGTCTATAGCAGCCCTGCAACATAATAATGAACGGAATACGACAAAACCTTTTCAACATTCCATTGGCAGAAGGAAACACTTGCTATAAATTCAGCCCTATGTGATGAGAGTGCAGTGTACCCACAGAGGACAGGCAACTAGCAGGCAAGTTATAATAATGACATTGGGACTGCAGTTCTAAGTTTTCAGCACCTCAAAATGAAAGATGTGCTTCCTTTACAGCAAGTTCTTACACTGATGAGCACCTGACAGGTATGTGTGTTGTGTATTCATATAAGATTCTCAGCTTCCATATGCCACCCTAAAGGCAAACACTGTGTCACTCGGTACAGACCCGATTACACTTCAGCACACAAAAGGAGTGTCGCCGTGAAGGGTTGAATAGGTGGACATAAGACATTCTTGAATTTTACAACAGAAAACAACACACTTCATCTGATAACAGGACCAAAAAAAATCATCTCAGATTCAATGGAAGGGAAATATCTTCCAACTTGCAAGATCTGGATTCTGGCCAATCTTTGTGCTGGTATATCCTTGTACATATGTGTGTACATATGTATACACCTACAGCTGATGTCCAGTGTAAGCAAAGAACTCCAGATGGGCCCTACTAGCCAAAGAAAATAAGAAACTTAAGAGGAAAGCACTCAATGCATATCTTCATTCCTCACCCGAAGACAGCACAAAGAGGCAGGCCAAGCCCTCAGAGCCTGACCGTGACAACTGGTCATTTGAAATGGAGGTCATTCAGCACATAACGGACTGATGTAACATACCTGAGGCAAAGGGCAGCTATCCTCCTGTTGACATTACCCCTGCTGCCTCTGAAATCCTTTAATGCATCCAATTTATTCTCATTGTCAAAAGACATTTCAGTCTGTTGCTGGTATTGCTGAACTATTTTCATATACATTTATAGTAGCATTGGAAGTATTCACTTAAAACTAAACTTACCAGATGGAATATTCTTATCATCAATAATAAGATGAGCAAATGGCTGCTTCTCAGGTTTGTTCCTCTTGTACAGATCCATTCCTAATGCCTCCATTGCAGCTGGAGAGAAAAGAATTGCATTACCTCAGAAAGACAAGTTTAGTAGAACTAAAACATCTCTTATTAATAAACCAGCACCTACCTTTTTCTGGTCTTGGTGGTGCTCTTCCCATGACACGCTGGACTTCCTAAAATGAAAGAGCCATTGCTTTGACATTGTCTTGGTTTTGTAATATCACGTATTGCAGGTAGTTTGCACAGTTACAACCCTCCGCGTGTATGTACATGTGGGGGTTGTTCTACCTACAGTATATTCAGATGCCTAGGATACATATTCTCATATTTACATGATGTATAACAATAATACACAGTTTAGCTGCCACAATCAAATTACTTCCTTTGTCCAATACTTCTGATAAAGGTGGATAGGAATGATGGTGTGTATGATCACTACACTATTTATTGAAGTACTGTTGACAGGACATTTACAACCTTTCCTACTTACTACACTTAGAATATTTCTCTAAGCATAATAGAACAATGACTGCTAAGAACACATCACATAAAACAATGGGGATTGTGAACTGATTTAGTTACTTAGAGTTAAAAGGTGACAAAAGAGGCAGTTCTCTATAGGAACCAGCGTGCAATCACACTAAGAACTAAGGAAAGCTAAGCTCTGAATTTCATTCATGATGAGGTAGATTAAAACCTTCACCCCTCACACTTGACCACTAACAGGGAAGGTTGCAAGACTTCAAAAGGCTGTATAATCAAGGCTTACTTCTAACAAAATATGCAGGAACTGAAGGATGAAGCACCTTCCACATTTGTACTGGGACAAATGGACTGGATGCCAGAGTTTGGAAGTATGTATTCTTCAAAACTGCAGATGAATTTTAATATGAATGAAACCCGTGTTACCCAAAACCAAGAACAGCACAAGTAACAAACATCATACACCACAAAAAGCCTTGCTTTTAACAATGCACACCTGTTTTTCTCTTGAGAAAACATACAAAGAGCAGTTTTCAAAAATCTCAGCAGCCTGTTCTTGTTACAAGCCTGGACTGAGTCTTGGTAATATTAAGTTCAATCCTCAGTTCTGTCTCCTGTTCCCCCACAACTATCTTCTCTGCTTTCTAAAAAACAGGGGTAATATTCTACTTGCTATTCAGAATACCTCGTATCATGGAGCCATCAAGAAGATGTTTAGCAAAAGGAAACATTTTGCTGAAGATAGCAAATCATATCTCATCTCTGAAACCTAAGAGTGGTCCTTTATTTTGTCTATATCACATACATTGCTGTTTGTCTGATTCAATACCACGTATATGCAATATGCCTCAGATTTGGACAGATCAGCAATGTTCCACTGTGCTCTCAATCACTGTAGTGTTTTAGAATCTGAAGTCCTGCTTTTATGTCATTTTGCAGCCACAGTGAAATCTGTAACACCTTAGCCAATGCATTTATTACTCTCACTTTCCCCTTTCAGTAGGTGTTTAAATGTTAAACCAAAATGAAAAGCCACAGCAGTGTGGAAGTTGTATTATGACTATCAAAGCATAATACTTCAGCAGAGATGTGCTGATATTGTAGATAAGAATCATTAAGATACTTTCTGCTGTAGAGACGAGAAGAAAAGCAGAATCGCAACTTCAAAAGAAGCAAAACTCATGTCCACCTCCCCCATTTACACTCACTTCCCCTCTCTGATCTTCCTACTTCAATGTCAGTTCTAGGAGCATGAAAATGAAGCTCAATTCTAGGAGCTGCATACCAGCATCAGCTTCTAGCCACGCTTGAGCTCTTTAACTTCATCAGAAGTAGGAAGACTTGCAAGTACTAGATACTGTGAAAAGTGGCAAAAGCCTCTGAAGAGAACAGGACATAAGCTAAAAGAGACTGAGATGGACCACACTCAGATTACTGCACCACAGCTACTCCCAACCCTTTTCCTAGAAAAGGGAGACTCCTTTGTCTTCTTGCTTTCTTAATGGAAGCTTCTCAGATGTGGAGTCTCCTTTCATATCTTTTCCTCTGAGGGTTGTGATGCTGTCCTTGCCTGGAAAACCTACTGGGAAGATCCAAAGAGAGCTACGTACATTCTAACCTCCTATTATCTAAACTGGTACTAAAAAAAGCAATGCCATGGTTGGGAACTGCACAGCCCTTGGAAGTCCCTGAACTGGCCAATTCCTATCCTTCTCTCAACCTACATTTTTCTTAGGAGTATAGAGTTCTGCTTCTGCACATTTCCAAAGATTCTCTAGCTTGAGCAGCTACGGGTGCCTCACCTTCTGAGATCTAGCAGCCTGACTCAGCTTATCTTCCACACAGAAAGGCTGTGGTTCTCACGAAACGCAGTCTGAGCTGCTTTCTTTCTAACTGTTGGTGGTGCTGTTCATCTGCAACATCACCACTTCATAAGCAGAACAGCTACCCAGGAAGAATTGAGTCCACAACTCTCCTTGTCCTGATGGTCTTGAGCCTACTTTCCTGTTTCCTAGCAGCACCTCCCTCTGACAGGAACACTCTCCTGCACTCCTTTTGAAGCTATGATGCTATGCAACTAGGAACGCAAGTGTCATTACAACAAAAGGGAGATTACCAGCGTGAGCCAAATTGCTAACACACTGAGAAGAGCTGGAGACTGGCTCGTGTTCATTGACTCGTGTGCTTGTCTTTGGATTAGAAGTGGTTAGCCTCTAGCCAGAAAACAGAAATCCTCAATCAGCCAAGCTCTCCAAACACCGGTCTAGTATTGAGTTCTCTACTTGATTCTGACCAGCCCCACAGAATTTTGGTATTCCTTTCTGTTCTGTTGTCCAGGCTTCCAAAAGGAAGATGAAATACATGACCTAGTGCCTAGATAACAGAGTTGGAGCAGTGGGTTTCCTCCTGAAGAAAAAGTAGCTCAACACTTCTCTTGATTTTACTTCGTATTTCTACAATTCCACGGTGCTGATACACAACATACCTCAGAAAAGTGTTTTAGCATGTACTTGCTTCTGACCCTGAATGACTCAAGGACCACATTTTTCAGTGGATGTCTGAAGATATCCAGATGTCCAGAGGTGGCCTCTTAGTGGGATTATAAAAATCCCCTGGTATCCTTACTGCAAGGAATTAAGAGCTTGCGTTTTCCAGTCTTCAGAAAATCAACTGCATTCTTTAGCACCTGAATGTCTACCTAATCACAATGTACACTACCATTAAGAAAGCAGAAACAGCTCAACAGAGCCTGTCACTAATACACTGCTATTATTGGCATGAGAACTACTGACAAAATATTACCAGTGACTTCTCTTAAGACTGCCACCCACAGAACCATGTGTGCTACCAAGCTGTCAAGTTATTTTCAGAAAAACTGTACACAAAAATCACACCACTCAGTCTGACAATAAGATGCACTTGCACACCTTTGCATCATTTGCTCTCTGCCCACCAAGTCAACCCTGCTGGCCTGCTTCCCACATTCCAACCTCCTTCATACAGTCGCTGTTTAAACAACAGATAAACAGCCCGTCACAAAAATGAAAAATGTGTCTTCCTCCATCCAAAAAACTTAAGATGACACTGGGAAGCCACAAAACTTTCACATTTTAAAAGCTAAAATCATGCTTTAAGTGCCTGTAAAGTTGGGAACTGTTCTTTCCTCATCCACAGCAGGCTGCAGGTTTTAACTCATAGCATCTCAGCATCTTCAAAACAAAAACAACTCTTGCTCTTCCAGTTACGTCCAATGTTGAGGATGCAGAGACAAGGTTACATTTGAACATGTGATATTCATGAATGGTTTTTCCTTTCCTTTGGCTGTTACAGTATCTCAGTATCTGCTCTGAGCAGTTTAAGTAGCCTTTTGTGACCAACCAGAAGAGAACCTCTCTGGACATTCATGTATTGCTTCAGCTGTGATCTTAAAGCTCCTTTATGCAGTTTTTTCTTCTACTACCTGAGTGCTTTAAGTCCAGCTAATACTAGGAAGAAGTATCTGATTATCTTGCCGGAAATTCAGCAATTTGAAGACTGTTAATCAGGAAGGAAGTGAAAAAGAAAGTACATGAAGCAATATTCATTAGATGATAATTTACAGATCAGCACTACAACCACTATCCAAATGAGTAGTCTATTCCCTGCAGAAAAAAAAAAAGCATGTAAGCTTGTAGGATGGAAATTGTGAAATTTTAACAACTTATGGCAATCACTCATGAAACCTTGACTCTGTCCATAACTACACGTACTTTAAATGTCTGCTAAGTATATAGATCTCTTTATAAGTGCTGCTCTGGAAGTCTAGCAAAGCACTCTGTTGCCATGCAGGAGACTAGTTTATGCCTGAACTCCCCAAGCTGCTAGAAGCTGGGAGTACTGCCAAGAAAAGTTACTTATGAATTGACCCAAGATATGTTTGTAGTCCTTTCTACTTCAGGCTCATAACAGACTTCATAAGAACTGTGGTTAGTGCATCTGGACTGCCAAAAGGTTTTTAGGGTTATGTGCAAAAAAAATTAAGCAGACTAGGAAAGTATGTTATTTGTCTGTTTGAAAATCTACATGCAATATTGAAAATGTGCATTCTACTGAGTAAGCTGCTCCCTAAGCAGTATTTTTATCCTGGAATATGTTAAGGAATTCACCATTAGATTTTGATTTAAAAAAATCTTTAATTATTATTTTTTCAGGAGACAAATGTTTCTAGACCTGACCTTGCAGCCTTACTACACTGGTTTTCACAACAGCACTTTCACTTTCAACGTCAATCCCTGCTTTAGATTTAAGCACTAGGTCTACAGGTGTGCAAAGAAAGATGAGAACCAGTGCAGTAAGCTAAAAGCTGTAACCAGACCATAAACCTGAGCCAAAGCAAGTTGTCTATTTTCATTTCCTGAACAGCTTGAATTGCATAAGACAAAATATTGAAAAAACACAAAACGTAAACGGTATTTTAAAGTGTTCCATTTCAGTCACTTAACATGCTGCCAATTCAAATGAGGATACTGGTTCTTAAAGCACACAGGTTAGATTCTCCTTCAGGAAAGTGAAGGAAGTGTGGATGATCGGAAACCTCTTTCAAGTCACATTAGCTGCATTCCCCCCACATAAAGGACTGGCACAACTGGATGTAAGATTCAGCTGCATCTCTGCCCTTCATGACAACAGAGCCAATGAAAGGCAGAGCTTACAGAACACAATGAAGTACAATTTTGTCTTAACACTGTTTCTTTCACTTCTCTGATATACTGAAAAGATGCAAATGTAGACCCAGGCGAGCATTTTCCTACCTTCATTTTTCTCCCTGTCATCAATATATGATGACAAAGCATCCAGAACACTGACACAGCTGCTTAATACACTCTGTTACGTTCAGAAGAAATTCAGAGTCTGATTACTTTGGCAAGCGAAATCTTATTGTTCTCAAACTAATGGTCATCAGCCAAAAAACTTATCCCTACTCACTACTTATCTTGGCCACGGACATTGCAGCATTTAATCTCCATCCAGAACGGCAGGATATGCAGCCTCAACTAAAGCCGATGCCTTTGTTGAGTAACCAGCAGCAAATGACCAGAATGCCGGGCTTCCCATTCACTTACTGTAACAAGCTCCTTACTCTGTCATGGGGGCCACATGAACAAGCAGCCTAGTACCAGCACACAGAACAGAGTAGGTGTAGAGTGAGTCCATAAAATGCTGGAGGAAAGAACTAATCCTACAGAGTTAACCCTTTCCCCACCCCCCACCCCCCTTAAGTTTTTAAAGGAAATGGCTAGCAAAAGGGACAAGACACAAACTCCTAGGTTTCTCTAAGTTTTGCTCACAAAAAGATCTGTCACTCAGGGTAATCTGTTAAAAGCAACCATTACATTACCACAATTAAAGTAATACATAATAAATTCAAGTACAATTCACTCTGTAAAGTGTATGTGAGTTCAGCTCAAATCTAACATAGTCACCTCTGTGAAAAACTGACAGTCCTATGCAGATGTGAAGAAGTAAAGTTGTAATGGACCTGGTAAGCCCAGAAAACCAAATACCATAGCAGACATTCAGCTGTTAAATAGCCCATAATTAGGACTAAACACTATCATGAACAGGTAGAGATCAAAGGCAGTAACTGCAGTAAGAGGTGATTGTGACACACACCCAGCCTGCCTAGCCTTCTTCATTAGGGCTCACTTCCTTACCTGACTACTTTTGTTATTTGTGTTTGGGAACAACCTGGCATTCTCAACTGCTGGGCAAAGACTGCCCAGTAATTGTGCTATGGCAAAGCAGCTCTTCTGCCAGCGTGAGAATAGTCTGCACAGTACTGGCAAAGGGAGAAAAAAAAAAAAAAAAGAAAAAAGGAGATACTATCCCTCATTTTGGGCTGCATAAAGACAGAAGCAAATGAGAGTAAATGTTATCTCCATCTTTCAGGCAATATTTTCCTTGTTGATGATCTTGACTTGGGAGAATCTTGTCAGAAACAGAGTCAGGAAGACTGCTTCGAAAAAAAAGGTGGAACTGCCCTTTTTTATGAACATCCAAAGTGTTGGCTAACCTATACGAATATTGGAATAAATGACCACCATTCAGGTCCATCCAAAAGTCAGAATGGCCGATCAACTAACTGCAATCCTAGTTTTCTCAGTGCAATTTCAAGTTTTCTTCCTTAAAAAAAAATCTAAAAAATGTGTTTGAATATAGAATGTTACTCACCTCCATGTTCATGAGCAAACAAAATATGATCTTGGATGCAACTTCAGGTATTACTCAAACACCAGAAAATGCTTCATAGAACTTACCTCTGAACACAGAGGTTGGAAAAATTGTTGTAATTCAACAGGAGCACAAAAAGCAACACGCAGCCTGACACTTACCTTCTGCACAGCTCTTTGGAGTGCCTGTTTCATGCTTCTACATGATTCTGGCATCAACTTCACTTCTTGACTTTCAAAGGATGTATCATGCAAATCTGTGTTTTCCTGATGTCCAAAAAGCGTTCTGACACAGTGTGCGTGTTCCTTTGAAATTCTAGTAGGGTCCATCTGAAATAAAAATGTAAGCACAACCACAGTTTTAAATGTCTGTCCAAGAGACATTAAGAGCATTTAAGTCAGGGAGAATTTTCAGCCACATAAAAGTCTGGCACCTAGCTAAGTTTATTATCTAAATTTTCACTGTAAACAATGAAGAGAGAAAAAGTTCCCCACATGGAGGTTTATTTCATCCAACAAGCACATGAGATACGAGAATGAATTATCTTCTGGAGCTGCCTAGTTCATTAGCTTAGACTAGATATGTGACTTTCAAAAGTTAAAGATAAATCCCACTCTTACAGTAAAATCAATAATCCTGAATTCCATTTTTTGACCACTCAGTGCAGTATCACAGTTATTTTAGCAGGCAACATACACAGCCACCCTATCTGTAAAAACTATAGTTTGCAAGATGACAAACAAATGCCAAGCAGAGGAACTTGGGGAAAGTATGTACAACATCTAGCACATCATTTTCAAGAGGAGACACAGAAGAACAGAAGCCAGGTGTCACTGAAACTATTTTGTGGGCAAGAGATATTGCTGAGTGAAAGAGTCACCAAGTAAGGCAACACAAATTCAGAAAGACCAAAAGATGACAAAACTGTACCACAAAACATCTCTGCTTCACGAGACAAAGACTAGTAAATTTAGAATATCTGCAAGATATTTTTAGCAATCAGTCTTTGTCACTGAGTCAAGTATACTTTTAAACTGTAAATTTAGAATGCTCCTGAATTCTCAGATAAATTGGAAGGATATTCCAAGGATTAGGATTGTTCCTTAGCAGAGTTTAATTGCATAAATATTATTTAAATCATTTCACCCTCTCTTCCCACACTCCATATACTTTACACTCAAGAGATATTAATCACTATCTATTAGAGATGGCCTAAGACTTTCATCAATTGTTCTCAACTTGTATTTATTCTGCTTTTACTTCAGGCTTGAAGAAGGGTTTGTGCACTCAAAACCTTGTCTAAGTTCCCTGTTTCGGCTGGTCTAACAAAGAACATCTACTTCTATCTTTCTGCATAAGGTGGAAGAAATTTATCCAATAATTACAAAAGGTAGTACATTATTTGTAATCACGATGAGGGCATACCAAGACATTATGGATAGTGCCTGACCAGTGTTCAGTTTCCTCTAACACAGCACTGAACAAAACAGAACATCAAAAGGAAGTTTTGCAGAACACAAAACAGCCAGAGTGAATCAAACACATTGTATCATTTGTTCACACAAACATAAATTCGACTCCCTAACCCTAAAAAAGAACTGTGTTAACTTAAAAGCATAAGGTTAGGATTATAGACATGAATTTAAGACTACACCAGCCAGGCAGCCAGCCAACAGGCACACACTGCAAAGAAACATTTGTTGCGCAGATGGTAACACCAAATGCTGCCTCCTCCATCACCACCCTTCTGCAGAAGTCTCCAGATGAGAGCTGTTTGCCCGATTCATACAGACCCTCAGCCCCTGTGACATGGTTCAGCTGTCTCAGTTATCCCTGCAGATTTGGAACGAAGTAGGTCAGAAAAGGTTCACCTGAAGATCAGAAGATGCCGCAGCTTTCATTAGAGGGGCAGAGATGAGTTATAGAATGGCTTGGAGGCAGGAACTATCTTCCTGGGATGGCCTGACACAGATGGATCCTAAAGAAAATCTGTATAGCCATGACAGCTCTGTGAATTAATCACTAAAAACTACACTAATGACTTTCGAAGTCAGCTAGTGCAGCACAGCCCCGTTAACTGTTTAAACTGATCTAAACAGCACCTCTGTGCTCTCACCTTCACTACAAATTTCATTCATGTTTCTCAATCTGTTCTAGATCAATAACCTGGAAGGAATTTTTGCTGATCTGATTTCCTGAAAGATTAGCACCCTCCAGGTATCAGACAAGCATCAGAGCCAGTACAGGGACAGACACAGAACGAAAGAGCAGGAAGGCAGCACTAGCTTTAACGACTGTAAAACTGCACCCTAAAAACATCTCGCCCAGTATGTTCCACTTGTTTCCAGAACTCAGCAAATCAACTGTAAACTGAAAGAAAAAAAAAAATTAAGCACAAAATGTTTACCAACAGCTGATAAAAGGCAGTTCATACAGAATCACCTGGGTTTGAAGCTGCTTCTGGAGGCCACTAGTCCAGCCTCCCTGCTTGAAGCAGGGACAATTTGTAACAACAACTTGGGTCAGGTTGGTCAAGGCCTTGTGTAGACAAGCTTTGTAGAATCTCCATCAATGGAGACTTTCAACCTCTCCGGGTCAACTGCTCTACAATTTCATCACTTTTATTGTGTAAAAACACTGGGTTTGATGTCCAGCTACAGTTGTTCTTGCTGTGCCTCTTGTTTTTGCTGTGCGCTTCTGAAAAGCCTGGCTCCATCTTTAGGTAGCTAAAAACAGTGATTACATTCCCTTATCTTAGTCTGTTCTTCATTAGGTCCAAAGGACCCAGTTCTCCATTTCTGATACACTACGGTCCCTACCTACCACAGTGGTCTTCTGCTGGACTCTCTCCAGTTTGTTGACAGGCCTCTGGTACTGAGGGACCCAAAATAGGACCCTTTATTCCAGATGTAGCCTCTTATGTTGGGGTTGTTACAGACCTGAGGGAATTAGTCTTCAACAGGATCTGGATGTCTAAGTCTTCCTCCCTCCACACACATCACAGGATTGAAGACAGAAAGCAACAGCAAACAGCTGCCAGTAGATCCTCATTTTTATCAGCAATTCTACCAGTGAGAGACTATTATCCCAGTTTTTGATTTATTTAAACACATCTTCTGAAAAGCAGACAAGAAAGCTAGGTTTTACAACACAAAGATCAAGAAGTTCATAAAGGCCTGAGCGTCCAGCATGAGAAATGACACGTAGCATAGAGTACAGCTATCACCCATCAGCAATCAGTCAAATGTGTCACACAACACTGTGCCAGAACAGTAACAGCAGATCGTACAGAAGCACTTACTCAGATTAGTTTATCTGCAGAAGGCTTAAGACAGAATGCCAGCATCTCTGCACCTACAGTTAAAAGCGTGAAGGCTTAATGGAAATACTGTAACTGATAGCTCCAGCAACTTCAAGCGGTGCAGCCCATCCTGACAAACTGCAAGTCTCTAGAGATTTAGCGTTTGATAAGGTGAAGCTCTGATCTCAGGACTAGCTAACCTACCCGATTGCCCATGCCTTTTTCAAAGAATACCTCATCTTCACATATTTAACCATGGAAATCAGCTTGCTTGTCTGAAAAGGCATTCTCAGAAATCCTGCATCTTCTGCCTTTATAGAGAACATGCATTGAACTGCCATGGCTGTAAACAGGCATTACCAAGCACTGAGACCAAAACCGTGGGCAAGAAGCGACGCACAGAAAAACTTTCCAGGGCATGTTTTGAGAAGAACAGCTAAAAAGCCAGATGAAATACCAGTATGGTCTACAGGAAGCAGCTTGCTAACTTGCAAGGCACAGAGAACTTCAGCGTGAAGTCCTACAGATTTCATACCTGGAAAAAACATCAAGAAACAACCAAAAATATTGGAGAAAGCTTTATAACACATTAAGTTAAATAGCACAGAAGAATTAACCTAATGAAGAGCATCTAGTTTATTTTTCCTGTTACTGTTGTGTATACATCCATTGTGTCTGGCCTTGGAATCAGATCAAATCTTTCAGTGCCCTTTGATTTTCAGCACCCCTCACCATTCTAGTTGCATTTCTGGACTCTTGTCAGCTCAGTCAGAGCAGCCAAAATGAACTCCAGCATTGTGGGTGAGACCAAATGAATTTACAGAATTAAAAACTAATTTTCTGATGTTAAAAAGCTTCAGTTTGGTTTTAAAAGATACAATGCATTCCACCCACCTTTACCTATTAAATGTTGCCTCAATTATGCAATGTTACAGTATCACATTCTGTACTCCTTCAGTAAATGTTTAAGGTTTATACTTGCACTTATTTTCAAACTTAAACCAATTTCTAGATTATCAAATATCGCTTCACACTCCATGATCTTTCTGAACCACCAAGAAGGGTGGTTCTTCCAGGTTCCAAAAGTGACCCCCAGTATGCTGTTTTCTGTTAGCCACTGCTCACGAAATCTTAGGTGAAGTCTGAAAGGCTATTGTTTAAAGACATACTGTAATGAAAGTCAGAGTTCCATAGATGCATGAAATGACAATAAAAATCTGACTTCCAGGTCCCTGTTTACCCAAGTGTGAATTCTTCAATACAGTAGAACACTTAACATTTTTACAGACTTTTTTTAACAGATAACCTTGGACTTCTAGGTTAACCTATGGGAGTTAGACATCCAGCCCCCACATTTGGACCTGAGCACTCCCAACTTGTTCCACTGCCCTGCAGTTCAGTCAGCATCAGACCAAATTCCTACTCTTTTGTGATCTAAGTACATTAAGGAAATGGGCCAGAAAGAAAAGTTTAAAAGCAAAGCTTTCTGGAGACTACACTTTAGCATTTACCAGTGAAAGTTAAATAAAATACTTCACTCTGTCACCTTGTGCTGAGCAAGAGTCTGTTACACCATAATCTCCAGCTGCTCCAAATATCAAACCACATTTTCATGGCATTTTCATTGATCACAAGCAAATATCCCTCATGAAGTATAAGCAAAATAAACACTTAAGACCAATACATTTTGTTAGTGTTTAGTTTCTTGGATTCAGTACATTGCATAAGATGGTCCAAAAAGAAAAGCCAGAACATCTTAATGTTTTTACATTTTGGAACACTATTATGAGAATATTGTTAGAATTCAATTCTTATCTTTTTCTTTCTTTTTAGATATACCAGCTCATTGGCTCATTTGCATTGCACTGCATTATTTCTTGGCCACAAACATGTGTTTACCCATGAAAATCTAGTGTCAGTCTTAGTTAAGCATCTTGTGAAATTCCAAACGCTCAGGCCACAAAATAAACAAAACTAAGGAAAAACCAAAACCTCAACTATTGTCTCAGCTCATATTGTGTCATGATC